TGGCTCCTGCTGCGGTAATAGGCGGGAGGCTGGTTACAGCCCGCTCCGTGCATTCTGGTGAGCGCTGGGATTTGTTTCCCCGCAGCGTCTCGAACAGAAGTGCCTCTTGTCTTTTCTTGGTTGGCTCCCTCAGCTCCCGTTTGTTTCACCTTTCAAGCAGTTGTTGCTGGTGTGCAGCACCAGTCGGAACTGGTAGGGATCAAATTGTCCACCCTGGGATGTCGGCACCGGGATCAGCTCCCTCCCAGCCAGGAGCTGTTGTCCCAGAGAGGGTACCATGAGGTTTCCCTTCTGCCTCCCATCCAAAAATCAGCATGCTGTTACTCAGCCTCTGAGCATCCTCCCTCTGTGCCGGGGTCTTGCCCCCCGATTCAGGACAGGCTTCTCTGGCTTGGTGGTGCCGCATGGGGAGGGACTGGGAGGTCTGAGCGCTGCGTGGACAGGGATCCAATGACTCAGTGGGACAGGGAAGGTGGGAGCGATGGGAGATATGAGCCAAGTAGGGAGCAAATGGCACCACTGGAAGAGGCACCCAGGCACTGAGTTCTCCAGGAGGACCTGTTGCTGAAACTGGACCAACATGTGGAGAGCTGCAGCTGGGCTTCACTGCCCCGCTAAGCCTTTGCTTCAGCCATGGCTGGCAGAACAGCGAGCTCCAGGCTGGCGTGTGGGTTTTGGCAGCCACTGAGATTTCTCTTTCTGTCCTTGGGTCCAGCCCTGCTCCAGCTTCGCTGGTGGAGTTGGACTCTGGAGTCCCTGCTCTTTCCAAGCTCAGGAAACACCTGAGGCTCCCTGGCCTCCACCTTTGCCTGCCGAGCTCTTAACTCCAGCTTCACAGTGACTGAGGTAGATAGCAGACACCGTGCAAGCTTGTGCAAAACCACGAGCTGTCATGGTACTTTGGGCTTGATCCTTTTACTTCTTAGGCTGAGCTACATGTCTAGGTTGATATTCCCGCTCACATGGGTACACCACTGCTACGGCTTTCCTCCAAACCGCTTCTCAGTGCCATGTGAACAGCAGACCAGCAGAGCTCCAGGTTCGGTGCTTGTCTCTTTGAGCGTTGGTTCATACAGCAAACGCTGTCCTCATGTCTGCACAGCCCCTTGCAGCCGCTGGGGAGAGGGAAGTCTTGGACACTTGGGAGAAAACAGGAGACCAGGATGGGTTATGGTGGGGCTCTATAGCTGCCCTGTTGTGAGTAAATTGGGGAAAGGGAGCAACAGGGGTTCAGCAAGCAGTTCCTAACGTGCAATAGGGCCTGGCACAAGTATGGCAGTGGGGCTCGTGCTCTCCAGTGCTCACTGCTGTGTGTTAAATGAGCTCCAGCACCCCTTGCCAGCCACATTAAGT